AGCACATTAATAGAGAGGCGAAGGGAAGGAAAAGATATGGTAGAAAAAAAGTGTACAAGCAATAGGGATAACCGCACCCTGGAGAGGATTGTGAAACAAAACTGATTCAAAAATGTGGGGGAGATTCACAAAGAGTGGACTGCAGCTGGAGTCAGTGCTTCCAGAACCACTACGCACAGAAAGACATGGGTTTCAGCTGTCGCATTCCTTGTGTCAAGCCACTCTTGAACAACAGACAGCGTCAGAAGCGTCTCACCTGGGCTAAAGACAAAAAGGACTGGACTGCTGGTGAGTGGTCCAAAGTCATGTTCTCTGATGAAAGTAACTTTTGCATTACCTTTGGAAATCAGGGTCCCAGAGTCTGGAGGAAGAGAGGAGAGGCACAGAATCCACGTTGCTTGAGGTCCAGTGTAAAGTTTCCACAGTCAGTGATGGTTTGGGGTGCCATGTCATCTGCTGGTGTCGGTCCACTGTGTTTTCTGAGGTCCAAGGTCAATGCAGCTGTATACCAGGAAGTTTTAGAGCACTTCATGCTTCCTGCTGCTGACCAACTTTATGGAGATGCAGATTTCATTTTCCAACAGGACTTGGCACCTGCACACAGTGCCAAAGCTACCAGTACCTGGTTTAAGGACCATGGTATCCCTGTTCTTAATTGGCCAGCAAACTCGCCTGACCTTAACCCCATAGAAAATCTATGGGGTATTGTGAAGAGGAAGATGCGATATGCCAGACCCAACAATGCAGAAGAGCTGAAGGCCACTATCAGAGCAACCTGGGCTCTCGTAACACCTGAGCAGTGCCACAGACTGATCGACTCCATGCCACGCCGCATTGCTGCAGTAATTCAGGCAAAAGGAGCCCCAACTAAGTATTGAGTGCTGTACATGCTCATACTTTTCATGTTCATACTTTTCAGTTGGCCAAGATTTCTAAAAATCCTTTCTTTGTATTGGTATTCAGTAATATTCTAATTTTCTGAGATACCGAATTTGGGGTTTTCATTGGTTGTCAGTTATAATCATCACAATTAAAAGAAAAAAACACTTGAAATATATCAGTCTGTGTGTAATGAATGAATATAATATACAAGTTTCACTTTTTGAATGGAATTAGTGAAATAAATCAACTTTTTGATGATATTCTAATTTTATGACCAGCACCTGTATATACAGTATACAGGTATTGCACTGAGGGTTATTGTCCAGCCATACTGTTGTTGGTTAAGTGCTGAGCCAAACCAGACAGACTTCCTGTCTTGTACTGTCTTGGCCATTGTCAATGATTAAAGGCATCATGTGCCCAACTTATAGCTGTGGGTTTATCTCAGATCTGATGTTCCAGGTTATATAATAAAAGAAGAGGAGGCTAAGACTGGCTGTCATAAAAAGTAACTGGATAATAAATTAATTGCAAGACTACATACACTAAAATAGTTTTAAAGTTGTTACTTAAGTAATGAAAGTGTCTTGACAGTCCATTTATAATTTCTTGGCTGAAAAAGTATGTCAACTGTTACTGTCAGCTTTTATCAGTCAAGTTATCAGTTTAATTCATGCAATAAATCTTCAATTCAAATGCAACTTTGCACATTTTCTTTTCAGCCATACTGCTCATCTCTGCTTTAACACAATCCAGTTTATCCTTTACATTTCTGAAGTAACTGTGACAGTTTATGTAATCAAAAATGCATAACATCACATCTTCTGTGCACCAGAGGACACAATTTCTTTAGAACAGCCAGTTTAAATGCTCTAAAGTCATAGCATTGCAAAATACTGTATGCTTACTTATGTTATCGCCAGATTTTTTAAAAAGCTACCTTGGCTCTGTCCAAAAAAAAAATTAAAATTCACCTACCACACCTATATGTTTCTCTTTGCTTTGCTATTTTTTTTAGCTGCTTCCCCCTGGCTCCATTCTTTATGCTATGCTAAGCTTATAGGTCTGCTGCTTGTAGTCTTACAGTGTATCTTACAGTGTATCGAACAGACAAATATGAGCGGAATCAATGTTCTCGTCTCAGCAAGAGAGTGGATGAGCCCTTATTCCAAAATGTCAAGCCACTGTTTTTAAGAATATTGCATGATGTTAATTTACAAATCTTGGCCGGCGTGTTTAACAGTGCTTACCTTTGGTGTGAACAGGAACTTGATTCCCTCTACAGAGCCTTTGAGAGTCAGTCCTCTGATAAGGAAGATGGTGAGGACCAGATATGGCAGAGTGGAGGTGATGTACACAGCCTGACAAATGAAAGAAAGACAGTGAGCCAAACATATACCTGTAGATTTGAACAAACATGCTGTATATGCTTAAAACAGACATCACGATCACATTAGACTTCTCAGATTTAATATGACTTTCAAACCTTTCCAGTGGTCTCAATCCCTCGGATGCAGCAAACATAAAGCAGAGTCCAGGCAGCCAGCAGGGCTAGCACGATCCACCACTGCAGGCCTCCAGACTCATCGATAGCTGTTGAAGTGTTCAGAGTCTCTCTGTACCAAAAGTAGTCGACAGTGCTGCTCCGAGCACATTCCTCTACCAACCCTGCAAAGGACAGATCCAAAAAATGCAAATTAGGATCATATGGTAAATGGACCACATTTTTCCACAGTGTGTTGCACTGGCCAAAGCACTTTACAGGAGATGATAACACCGATGACGACAAGGCTGCCACACAATGGTGCTAGTCAAGCCACCGGGAGCAATTTGGGGTTTAGTGTCTCGCTCAGGGACAATTAGGCATGTGGGGAAAATAAAGCCTGTATTAGTTAACTTTGTTCCATGGTGTGAATGTGAGCCATAGCCACCCCATATAACAAAGAACTAGATGCCAACAACCTTCTGAAAGACATTCTGTATGGCAGATGTGTACATTTGAATTTTCTCAGATAATTACAGTATCCTGATAGAAGAGGGTATACCTGTCTTGTTAGTATTGAGAGGACAATGGCTCCAAGGAAGAGGGTCCTGAAAGGAGTTGAAGAGATACCACATAATCCAGGCCATGATGGTGTTGTAATACATACCCACCAAAAGTGAGACAAACATGGATGCAATTCCTGTAACAAAATGAAATAGTCTTGAGTTAGTTTTTGAATGTCTGTACAAAATTTTGAGAAACTCATTAATTCCTCTAATTGTTTAGATATTTCAGTTGGGACCAAAGTAATGGACTAACCAACCTTACTGCCATCCCTAAAAAACACAACCACATCAGCAGGCTTTGTTTTTTACCCACCAATCCCAGTCAGGTAAGGATTGATTGATCTCCACACTCCCACACTGCCTTTCCTCAGGCGCTGCCCAGCGGCAAACTCCAGGTGCAGCAGTGGGATTCCCTCCAGGACCAGCAGGATAAGGAATGGGATCATAAACGCTCCTAGAAACATTCACATTATTATAATGAGTTAACAATGTGGCGAGTGATTCACTTCATTCAGCACTTTAACAAAGGAACGTAAATGTTCAGCAGTCAACCTTTTCCACACAAATGTTTCCATAAAGACACCAATAAGCTGTAAGAGGCATTGTACATGTTTTATTACCTACACTGGGTACTACATAAACCAAGAATAAGGCTTTCACATTCACGTCTACATTGCATCTAAGTTTAACAAAATAAAGCAGGGGTGTCAAACTCAATCTCACATGGGGCCAAAACTCAAAGCACACTTTAGGTCGTGGGCCGAACAGGGTAAAAATTTATTTAACAGACTAAAACTAAACGTTTTTTTAACAAATATGAATCGAAACAGACAGGATACAATATTATTCTAAAATAAATAACCTTGAACTTAAAATCACCAACCGTATTTCTGCTAAGGCTTAGTACATTTACAAACACCTGCTTTTTGTCTGGACACCAGACGTCACACACTTTCATCATGCAGCTCTTCAGAAACTCTCCCTCGGTAAATGTCCGGGCTGATTCTCTCCTCTGTCCCAATAAAACTTGCTTTTACAGCAGCTTCACTGTGTGATTTCCCTTTGGTGAAAACGTCTGCTGTGATGTCAGATTCCTCTTCAACTCCTCTACCTTCTGTAGCTTCTGCTCTGCATTCACGTTTTTCAGCTTGTCCTGATGTTTTGTCTCGTAGTGCCGTCTTAGGTTATATTCCTTAATTACAGCCACATTAGCTCCACAAATAAGACACACGGGTTTACCGACAATGTCAGTAAACATATACTCAGCCTCCCACCGGTTTAGAAAGGCTCTGTTTTCAGAATCAACTTTCCTCTTGGCCATTGTTAGGGGCTAGCTTTGACTTGAAATTAGGGTTGTATACATCGACAGACGCGTGATTGATCTGACGTATACGCGGGAATGATCGCAGGTAGTTTATCGTTCGGTAAGGCAGCTGTTGCGCTGCATTATGGGAAGTTTTTTCCAGGTGTTAAGTAATAGATTTTGGTCTGAGCCTATAATTTTAAAGTATGTTGAAGCAGCTAAATTATCTCAAGCAACTGTTACTAAGATAGTCTAACTGCATATACTGCTGCAAATATTGTATCTCTTCCTTATAGCCCTTTTCAACATTACCCACAGTTGTTTTTTCATTAAAAAATCAAATTTAATGCCAAGTTCTCTTCAAATGTGCCAATTTGTTACAGTCCACTGTATTTATGAATTTTATTTATTGGTTTAATTTAGACTAAAAGTAGATTGAGTTCTGGAAGATGCCTTCTAACTCAGTGAAAACAGGTAAAGACCCTTTTATTAATTCATACACATTGCTCATTTTCTTAGTTTTTGTGTCTTTTGGAAAGAACTCATCCCAGACTACAGTACCTCCTCCATGGCTTTGACACAGGTAAGGGAACCTCCAGACATTGCCCAGTCCCACACAGAAACCCACACAGGTGAGCAGATACTGGGCTTTGTTGTCCCATTTAGGCCTGTCTCCAGCTTCATTCTTCTCCATCTGCTCCAGTTCCAAGTGAGAGGGGATTCGGTCATCCAGTCCTGGATTTGGTAGCTTCAGCTTCATGTTGCTTGCAAAATTGGAAAATGTAGCTGCTGAGTTTCCCTTTGGTAACCAGTTGTTGGTTTTCTACTTTCCTGCAACTAGTCAAGAAACTGTGTCTTTTCTCAAGTAATCCGCTTTGTGGAAAGTGACACAGATTCTCCAGTGACTGTGACTGTCTCTCTCTCCTAGTCCTACTGTGTTTCCTGGTAAGGGTTATTAATGTGACACATAGCACCTAAACTGCATTTATGAGTAGCTCATTCTGTGTTGTATTATGTAATGTCAGCAAGATTAGCTGGTATAAAGTGCAGCCTTCTTGATAATGGTTAATACATCACATTAGGCACTATCACTAATACGTTTCCCTGAGAGACGGGTTTAGTGATCAGGCAATTGTAAAGGGAAATGGTTCAGTGTGATGTGATGTAAACAAATGAGACACCTTTAAACAAGTTATAAAAGTTGAGAAGAGCATTATGCTAGTTATTTATCACTTCTCATACCACAGATAAAATGATAAGTACACTGACACAGAGGAAAGACCGGGTCTTTGAATTTACTAAAATTATGCTAG